AATATTCTGCAAAAATAGGTTTTGAGCTCTTTCAATCTACTGCTTTGATAGTCTTCATTTTGCCATCCAGCGCAATGTAAAGACATAGTCCTCTAGATTTCCCTGCTTTGGCTCCCTTTTGCTGAAACAAAGATGATTGTGCTGATTCAGACAACTGTTAGAATCACTTGGCTAATGCTCTGTAAGGGATCTAAAGCAGTCGAGAGGTCAGTATGTTATCTAACCCTCCTTCCCCCAAAAACTGTGTCTTAAAAATAGTCATCCATTTTACCTGGGAGCTAAGAAGGTGCAAGTAGATTCATGAGCTGTCCTGAAGAAACACGTGAATGGCTGTCAGCAAAAGCACCAGTCAGACTGTTTTTGAAAGGGTAAGGAAGCCAAATGCCTCAAATTATTCCAATTATTGAATAGGTGGAGTTGTTGCAACAGACCTATTCTAGCATTTGCATTAGGTGTGTAGCAAATGACTGCTGTGTTCTCTGTTATCCCTGAGTCTTCAGGGCTTCTCTACTGCTTACACTAAATCTACCTATGCCCTAACTTGTCCAATTTACCACTGATTGTATTCCAACAGAATCACAGAATATGCTGAGGTGGAAGGGGCCCATCAGGATCATTAAGTCCAGCTCCTGGCCCTGGCAGGACATCCCCAAGAATCACACCCTGTCCCTGAGGGCATTGTCCAAACACGTCTTCAAATCTGTTAGGCTTGGTGCTGTGATCATTTCCCTGGGGAGCCTGTTCCAGTGCCCAGCCACCCTCTGGGTGAAGAACTTTCCCTGCCTCAGCTTCAGGCCATTCCCTTGGGTCCTGTCACTGGTCATAACAAAGAAGAAATCAGTGCCTGCCCCTCCTCTTCCCCTCACAAGGAAGCTGTAGCTGCAGTGAGCTCTCCCCTCAGTCTCCTACAGCTCAACAGGCCAAGGGACCTCAGCTGCTCCTCACATGGCTTCCCCTCAAGGCCCTTCACCATCCTCGTGGCCTCCTTTGGATGCTCTCTAAGAGCTTAATACTGTTACCCAAATCCTTCCCCTGCTCCCGTTCTGGGAACCCTGGGATCACAATGGTTGCTGTGGGTATTTTTTCTTGGCTTTTCTTGGGAAACAGACATTGCATAGAAAGTAGGCTCTGGGTGTGCAGGCATGAGCCTACACCGTTGCACATCCTCCCTGATGGGTACCCACATGATTTTTTCTCAAGCAAAAGAGAGCAAGGCAGAGGAAAATGTGAGGGTGAAGGAGCAGACAGGACAATTGGAGGGTGGGATAAAAAGATCTATAGCCAGCAGAGCACCCTTTTAACTCCTGAACCACATCCTTTGGGTATTAAGTCACGAGGCCATTGGTGAGTGGCCTGAGACATGGGAAACACAAAGGCATGGCAAAGCTTGCCTTTCAAGGAGGTCTGCTGAGGAAACCTCTTCAAGGTTCCAGCACCGACCATGCTGCAGCCAACAGGAGCCCACACCACAGTCTGCTGAAACATGAGGGATTCAGCTAGTGTTGCTTTAATATCAATAGCTTGAAGGACAGGTGGAAAAGAAGAGCACGGAGCAGCTTCTGTTTACCAGCCCACTGCTGCAGCATTGCAAGGTGTTAGAGATTCCCCCCCTTGTGTGTGGGCTGCATTCCCCTGCACGACACTCCAGGAGATTTCATGGCCAGTGTTCGCCCTCCTGCCTGCATCTTCAGCACATGGACACCCAAAGCACATGATTCATCTTCTCCCATGTTCTAATGAATTCCTTCCACGTGCCTGAAGCCTCTCAAGCCTCCTCAACCACACACCTCTGTGTATGCTTATCTCTGTTTAATGTCGTTAATCACAGAAAACACTGATAATATTACCTTTACCCTTCCTCACACAATAATTCCAGGCAAACAAAGCATAAAGGTTATGCACTCACCCTAACATTTATTACTTTACTACAGCTGTATAAAAATGAGTTATGAAATTTATCTTCTAGCTCCTGTCAACTGTTTTCAAAGCATAAAGGTTATGCACTCACCCTAACATTTATTACTTTACTACAGCTGTATAAAACGAGTTGTGAAATTTATCTTCTAGCACTTGTCAACTGTTTTCAAATACTTCAATCACAAACACATAGTTGAAAGTGATCTGAAAGGGATGGTTATCAGAACTGAGACTGAAGGAATTTCTGGCACTCTGTTTTGTTTTTCCATCCCCAGACTGATTAAGGTCCAGCTTGGAGGTGGTGACTTGCAATGTTTTCATTTCAGGAGTACCTGAATGCAGGCCCTGCAGTGGAGTCCACCTGTTTGCAGGCTCCTCCATTAGGCAGGACACAGCTATTGGTCTGAGCCAGAGGAGGGCAAGAGAGTCTTAATTAAAAACAAAAAAAGGAAAACAAAATTTGTAACAATAAGACCCACACATACTGCTACAGTCACAGAAACTGTAACTCAGGAAAGCTCTTAGGCATATATTTAAGAAAATGTATGTCTAATTTTGCTCTGAAAAGGCTTCTGTAAATAGGTGATGTTTGGAATGAGATCTCCATGACTGTACACAGTAAACAGATTTGCTGCCAAATCCAAAGTCTGCTTGACAATCACCACAGTACATCTTACTGCTGAAATATGTCAGATGAAGGTCACAACAAGTATTAAATAACTATCCAAAAGCATAATAGCTAGCAATACCTGTGGCTAAATCAGGCCCACACTGATATTTACAAGATACATTCAACAGACATGACAGATACCAGCCCAACGGCAATGAGTGAAGACTTTTGTTGTGCCCCAGCAGTCTCCTCTGGACCTACAGACACACTTCTAACTCCATCTGTCTTCAAATGCACTCTCCATGCCACATGGATCTGCTTTTCCATGGCACAGATCCCACCCATCAAAACATTCCCTTGAACCACTACAGAAAACACAAAGATGCTTTACCAACTCAAAATATTTTATTTTCCAATTTTGAAGCTGATTGTGCTCGCAGCCAACCATCCCCAATGCTGTTATGAAATTCAGTATTGCTCTTCAAGCCTATGTATGTACCTGTGGCCTAGACTGCACTGATAGAAAGCAACATTAGGAATATGGTAATAGTCATAATGTTAAAATACATTAAGAAGATTTGTCACTTTAAGAATAAGTTAGCAGATCCCAGCTAACTTATTCTAATGCGCTCACTCTAATGCAGAGTAAAAATTTTCACATAAATTATTTTTCAAGGGAAAAGTGCAGATTCTCTCAAATTAATGCAGTCCAAGACTGCCTACTTAGAAAAAAAAATTAAATATAAAAATTGCATCAACCATTTCAAACCAAAAATAATTCACGTTTTCTACTATAATGGAATCCTTCAGTTGTTAAAGAAAATATTGTTTCTGACCTCAATCAGAAAGAAAAAAAAACATTTTAAGTCAGCCCAAATTTCTACTTCAGGTGGTTCACTAGGTATTTTCAGTTTTCATTTCCCACCAATTCCCAAACTGAATGCAATGTTTGAATTCAATGTGAGCCATAAATAAAGCCCCACCCTGTGAGTCTGTGAGTCCAGAGAAGGGCCACAGAAATGATGAGAGGGCTGGAGCATTTCAGCCTATGAAGACAGGCTGTTCAGCCTAGAGAACAGAAGGCTCTGGGAAGAGGGCACTTTATTGTGGCCTTCCAGTTCCTAAAGGGGACTACGAGAAAGATGGGGACACCCTTTTTAGCAGGGCCTGTTGCAACAGGACAAGGGATAAAGGTTAGAAACTACAACAGCATAGACTTAGACTAGATATAAGGAAGACATTTTTTACAGTGAGAGGTGTAAAATAATGGAATGGGTGGCCCAGAGAGGTGGCAGGTGCTCTGCCCCTGGAAACATTCAAGGTCAGATTGGATGGGGCTCTGAGCAACCTGATCTAGGTGAAAATGTCCTGCTCACTGCAGGGGCTTGGATTAGATGTCCTTTAAAGGTCTCTTCCAACCCAAAGTATCCTGTGACTCCATCTGCCTAGCTTTGTTCTCTTGCCCTGCTCTGGACACACTCCAGCACCTCAGTGTCCTCTTTGTCACAAGGGGCCCAAACCTGAACAAAACATTTGAGGTGTGGCCTCACCAGTGGGACGGTCCTGCTGGCCACATCTTGCTGATCCAGGCCAGGTGCCACTGGCCTCCCTGGCCACCTGGGCACACCTGGCTCATGTTCAGCTCTCTGGTGACCAGCACCCCAACAGTCCTTCAAATCACTCCCAAGCTCACAGACTGTTAGTGCAGGGATCCTGAGTGTCATTATCCCCATTTACCAAAGCACCATGTAACATCACAGACCAGAAGATATCCCAGACTCTATCTCCTACTTTCCTTTTCCAGGCCAGTGACAGAGAACCTGCTGTCCACAGGAAGAACACCTGACATATTTACAAACAGTAACTTTGTGTATTTACCAGTTTAGGAGGTGAATTGACCAGGAATGTAAAAAATCTTGCCCTAGAGAGATCATTCTTTTTGTAGGTGAAGAGCCCACATGGGTTTGGGGATTTCAGAACAAACATGAGACTGTATTTACTGATCAGAATTAGTAAATCTCATGGTTTTGATGAGAGATAATCTATTGTAATGGAGGAAGCATGGAAAACTGCTGTGTTGGACATATGACAGCAATCCAGGGTGAAATAAGATTTTTTTAAAGTCAAAAAAGATGAAAAATAATTACTCTGAATTAACTCTAAATTGTAGCCATTCTAATAGCTAAAAATAATTTTTAAAAAATCATATTGTAAGACAGTTTGGCACCATCAAGTGCTCAGTAACAGCATAAAATGGTATAAAATCTTAGTAAATTACATGGTGTCAAAACCCTCACACCATGCACACATGGCTGGAGAATCAACAGGATTATCTTTAGTGGTCTTTCAGTACTGCAGCTCACAGGCACTCATGCCATGTTCTGACATGGGCAGTGGCTATTTTTGGTGCAAGAATATACAAGTTCCTGGAGGTGATCTTACAGCTCCTGCCTAACAGCAGCACAGGAAGCTTCTAAACCTTTGGCACTGCATCTTCAAGAGCTGCACCATTCAGGATAACCTTAGGAGCCTGCTTCTTGTCCCCAGGTTCTTCAGCCGCGCACTCCGGAGGCTCCAGGTCGTGGTATTTTCTCCGATAGACCACCCTGGAGATTACAGTTATCAGAAACATTTCCATGATGAGCAGCTGCTGGGCAATGTCTGCCAAAAAAAAAAAAAAAAAAAAAAAAAAAAAGAGAAAGAAAAAGGGAGACAAAGAAAAGCCCCCAAAAGGAGAAATTACTATCAGATAAAAAAATGAAAAATTGGCTTATTAATTTTCACCTATGCAAAAGGAACAAACTCTATCATCCTGTCCCCATGTCTCTCACAGTCAGCAATGACATCAGTTACAGAATTCCAGTATTGCCCATCAATAAGAATGCAATAAATTTTGCATCCAAAATACAAGAGATTTAACAGTAATTATGCATGTTGATTTCTTTTCCTCTCATTTCTGATTCCAGCTCTTCTCATTATCAATTTGTTCTCCAAAATCATGAGAGCTATGAAACTTTTATTGTTTTTTAAACTAAAAAATGAGATTCTCCAAAAGCTAGATGAAATTTGTATTTTGGGAAAATACCAGAGATTGCCATTACCAACAATGAACTGGTACTTTTATAAGTAAATTAAGAACATTCTTCCCTCAAAAAACTTACATGATCCTCTTGCTGTAGAGGAGAGTGGTGGAGCACAGGGAATGATTTTTTGTGTAGCAAATATGTTGATAATAGTGGTCTGCAGGTGGTTCAGAATGACGATAAACTGCACCAGAAAGGGAAAACAAATGCCTCAGCTGCCAGAAAGGGGTTTATAGTTCACACAACAATTTATAGTTCACACAATTCTTCTTTGATAACAGAACCTCTTTTGCCTCATTCCTCCTTGCTTGCCCTCCCTTTCCCCCCACTACCAGCAGGGTGCCTGCCATTCTGCAGAATTCATCTTAAGGTCAGGATGATATTGCTCGGAATAGGAGTATTAAATTAATCCTGGACTTGAAAAGTATTTCTTCTCAGGCCTTCATTTGGGAGGTACATTATACACAGACCTCACAGCAGGGATGTCAAATAATACTGAGTTCTGGATAATAGGTAACAATGTTTAAAAAATGACTGTTAATTTGACCCATGAGCTTATGTTCTTCCTTGTTCATGGAAGAAAGACTCAAAGAACATTTTTCCTCTTGTCTCCTCTTTTTGCCAAAGCAGGGAGATATTGTGGTCCCCAAATTATATGAGACTGGCTTCTTTGCCAGAAGGTATGAGGGACTCTTCACAGCTTGAGTTCAGCAACCACCACTTGCTCAATCACATTACATTGAGCCAGACCTTTGCTGCCATGGAGTTATCCAAGTGCCTCTGTAGCTGCTGGTGGAACTGCCTGAGTCTAAACCCTCACATCAACAGAGTTTGCCATCCCAAACCTGAATTCACCCTAGCACAGCTTTGTGCTAGGTGTGACCATCCTGTATACTGCCTTTATTAGTGCTTAATAATTTACCTAACCTGAGTGCACCAGCCTTGATGCATGTCCTGTTCAAGAAGGACATATCCAAGGATTCTGCTGGACTCTATTTAGTGATGCGGAGAGGGTGGCCTTGTCCCTGTGCTTTTTCAATCTAACCTATGTGGTTCTGTTCCTTACTGTTTAATGATTTGCAGCCAGTATTTTCACTATTATCTAATTCTGAAGTACAGAATGGCCAAAAAAAAAATACTTTTAAACCAGCATATTGTGGAATGCTGAAACAGTTCAAACAACAGCTGCCTGCACAATGCAACATCTCCTCTCTGAGGTACACACCAGCATTTTAACATTGCATTTCAGATACCACAGCTACAAAGCTTCCTTCAAGCCCCACAGAAAGTGCTGTTGTGATTTCAGTGGTCTAAAGATAGACAGATTTTACATGGCTTTCACCTCTCCAGCACTCCTGAGACTAGAGGTAAATTGGCTCCAAGTGAAACTGAACAGCAGCCAAGGAGAGTGCTTCAAAGGGATGCAGCTTTAATCAGGTAAAAATATGGCTTTGCACAGTGTATTTAATGGGAAAAAAAGACCATAAATTTTCAACAAAGGAGCAAGAACAAGAGAGGCAGAGCAGTGTCAGCAGATAAGAGAAATTCTTACCAGAAATACTGAAGTTCTCACCTGATAAAGAGCAAATTTTGGGATAATGTTCTTACACTTAAGGAGAATCCTAACTTTTCGAAACATGATTCCTACTGCCCACAGAGCAAAAAGGGTGAGGGCACCAATGAAGCAGCTGATCCACAGCGCAGGTCCTTTGGGAGACAACTGAGAAGCAAATTACACAACCTTATACAACCTTACTTCAGTGTTTCCAGGAGGAAGTTATGAACTGGATGATGTTAAAATGCTTTTTTCTATCTGCATGAAAGCTGGTGTTTTGCATGGGGACACTGCCCAGCACCAACTGGAGTGCTGGCACAGGCTCTCCTCCTGCAGGCACCTACACAGAGACGTGCTCAGCCTGGGGTGGTGCCAAGGGACACAACCCCTCCGTGTTGCAATTGCCAGCCATGGAGTGTGTGCCTTTTCAGAGACCCCAGCAGCACCTGCAATGCTCAACAGCTCATGAGAGCATGTTCAGCCTGACTTCTCAGGCAGGTCATTAATTTTATACCATGAAACAACAACAAAAATATTACTGTTAGTCTGAGTAATCCAGGAGGTGCCCACTCAATATCAGATACAGATTTCTCCATCATCTTGCAGGTTACATGGTACAAAGCAGAACTACAGTACTATCTTTTCACTTTGCACAGATATAAAAATCACCATGTCTTGCTGAAAAACACAGAATTAGGCTTCCTGTTAACATGCCAGTATGTACACTTATTTCTTAAGGCTGTACCTTACAAAACACAGGGCAGATACATCCAATAGGGCAACTTGCAGTCCTGCTATTCCAACCATACCAGCTGGGAAATGTATAATCTGATGCCCAACCCCCCTGATGCCCAATTTCTTTCCAAGAGAGTTGAGGAAGGCAGAAATCATGGATGTCAGGAAATTATATGCTTCAGGTCTCAAAAGAATACAGTAAGGACTCACTTGGAAATGGTCCTAGATTTCACAGTTTAGTTGCAGGCCAGGATAATTACATCAGCCCTGAAACCTATGGATTTTGAGGACCTTCTCTGATTAAAATAGTTACTTACATTGTAAAGAACGTAATTGCCATTAGTCCAAAGCACTATTGATAAAAATACGAGCACAGGCCGCAAGACAGCAAACTGAAAGGTGCCCAGCTTCAGCCAAAAGAGGGTTTGCCTGGATAGATTAAAAAAAAAAAAAAAAAAAAAAAAAAAAAAAAAAGATAGGCCAAGATCATATTAGCAACCTTGATAATTTCTGAATACTGTCAACTGCAAAACTTTTCCACTTTTGCAGCATGTGGTTAAAATCTGGGGAGGAACAACTTCAAGATTAGAAAATATTTCCAAGAATTTCCCAATGTTTATTTAATAAAGTCTCTACAAAAATAGTACTTTTCCTGCTCTGCAGCAAGTACATACTAACCAAGGCTGGGCAAAACATGATGTCTTTCTCTGCCCTGAAGCCAGCCAGAGAGACAGTAGCTGCATAACCGGTTTCTGAACAATGATGCCATTTGCTCTTGCCTTGTTGCCTTATTATTTCAGTCCTCCCATGAAATTGGACAAATCAGCCTGTTCAGCCACTTCCTAGTCCTGTGGTAGATCAAGAAAGGGGGTCACAGACACCCAGGTGAAAGGACTGGTGGTTCTTCAGTGCATCTTGAAGAGTACCATGTAGGACCTGGGCTTGCCCCTCTGCAGCCTAACAGAAGAAAGGAACAGTCTCCCCCTGGGCAAACTGCACAAGGCTGCCAGGAGAGCTCAGGATTCCTTCACTTCTGTCACTATAAAGTGTCACTATAAAGCACACCTGTAACCTGGCCAGCCAGCACTGCAGCCCACCAGGAGAGGGGCAGATGAACTTTCTAACAGAGGGCATGGAAGCTGACTGACCTGAGCTCTCACAGGGGAAGCTGCAGCAGCTACAGCTGCCTCATGTTTTAGTCTGTTACTGTGCATTATTTCCCATATTTTCAGTGTTGTTTTCACTGGAGTTCCTTGGGCCCTGCCATCAGAGATGTCTCACAGACAACAGGCTGCCATTTAGTGTGCTAAAGGATATAGCTAGGAACCAGGAATTACAGGAATTGCTCAATGAATATAGCTGGTAACCACAGGATTATCAACAGGACAAACCCATGTGGAAAGACCTGCAATGGGCCACCCACTTAGTGTGTACCTTTCCAAAGATTTATTATTCCCAGAGAGCTTTAAAGAATAACACATCTGACAAAGAGTGCAGTCACTGCAATGCCATGAGTTGTTTCCCTTGTTAACACAGGCCCAGCTTTCCTGATCACCAGATCTCTTCTGCCCCATCTCTCCCTGTTGCGTGGATTGTTATATTGCCTCAGCTGTACCTTGTTGTTTTCCCCAGGACTGCAGATATATATTGTTTTTTTTTTTTTAATTAATCCCTCCCTTGGGGTAGCTCCCTGTTTCCCCATAGGATACCTATGGAAGGAATGTGAGACTGACTTTTCTCTCATATAGCTTGCCAATACCTTTTTTTTAAAAAGGTAGCCTGCAGTGGGAAAAGGACGGAGGTTAGAAGCAGAGAGCAAATGGGTTTCCCAGAGGTACAGACACTGGAGAGAGAGGCCTAAGCCATTTAAAGCCTTTATTTTTTTTTTTCAACAGACAGCTGTCCTTCCTGCCAGGAGCAGTAGGCACTGTCTAGCCCCTGAAATGAGTCCATATTAGTTGACATCATCCTGCGTAAGCTGCTACTGGGCTGAACAACAGCAAGGGAGAGTAGGGGATCCTCTCCAAACTCCCAGCTGCTACAACCTATACTCTATTAAAAATTATGGAAACTTAAGTTTAAATTCTAATACCAAATGAGGCAGTTTAAGGAAAAATTATTGTAATAAAAAAAAATAGAATTTTTGAAAATGCATCAGAAACCACTATGCTGTGTTCTGTTTGCTGCTTTTCTCTAAAGAGATTGTACAGTCCCCTAGGACCCTCTGACACTAAAGTCCATACCCTCATAGAAAATCTCTTTTCAGTCCCTTCAGGTTTTGCTTATAATGAGAGAAACAGTCCCATGCTCTATGCCAGTAGGAAAGTCAGGGAAATACACAAGGCTCCCAGGCTGTGGAGTGCTGTGTAGTGAGGGGTGACACCAACCAGAGGAGGAGCTCCACCAGGTTCTGCTCAGAGGAGGACAGGTTTGTGTTACAGTACATTGGCTCCTGTAGCTCTCCATCCTTACCTCCCTTCTCAAAGATGCTTTAATACTAAGTTTAGAAGAAGAAAACATCTGCTTTTGCCTCACCAGACAATGCCATTTCATTGAGAACAAAGCTTTACAAGAATTACATCTACTATTTGTTCTAAAAAGTATTTTAATCTAAAGTAGTTTTAAAGTCAAAATCAGAATAAAACATTTCCATTTTATCAAAGTGAGAGAAATTTTCTATCAAGAGAGCCTCCATTTGACAATTCTGCTTGTGAAAAAATACATGATCTCAAGACACTTGTTCCCTTCTGGAATGAAAAGAAACTGAAATGTCAATTATTAGGTTTTCTAGAGTAGAAATTTCTCCTCCCACACACCTCTGCATTATAGACACGAAATAAATTAGTGGTGGTGTACAGCCCCAGAGTGAGGATGCTGTTTAAAAGAAACAGTTTGAGATGTCTTGAGACTGACTTTGGGGAAACTTTGCTGTAAGCCTGGCCCTGCCAAGCTGGCTGAACTCCAGCAGCCGTTTTCAAGCTCCTTCAAGGGAAATCCTAAAGGGGTGACTCACCTGGTGATGGGCACACGAGGGAGGCAGAGGCAGCAGCAGCAGCAGGGGCCGGTGGTGATGGTGAAGTGACCATTTTCAAACCGTCTGAGGAGCACCTTCTGCCCTCCACACTCTTTAATCATCATCATCAGGAACTTGTGGATAACTATGGAAAAAAATCTAGGAGAGGGAGAGAATTCCAGCTTAAACTTGCCTGTGTGTCTTGTATGCCTGTGCAGGCCAGTGCCACCTCCTGTGCAGGGTTTCACAGCTTGTGCTTCGCAATCAACAAACATTCTAGCTCTGTCTTTGAGACACCTTCTGCTTTCTATCACCTTGGAGGAGCAGAACTGCCCTACCCTCACTGAAAGAGGAATAAACTGAGGCACAGAGCAGGTGTGGAATTTCCCAAAGCCGCTCTGGTGGCTGGTGGCAGAGTTGGTGTTAAAGCACAGGCTTTCCTGGCCCCAGTCATTCTGGCTGTGTTTTTCCATAAGTTATCTAGTTCTCACTAGTCCCAGCTTTTTAGAAGAAGTCCTCTTGCTCCTCAAACATGCCTTTCAACAAACAAACACGGCTAGGTTCACATACATACATAGCTATCATTGAATGTGCTGGCCCAGGCAGGGTGTGGTTCCTCTACAGACAAAGCACCTACTGCTGCAACCCCACCTCTCCCTCCTTCCCCAGCTGCACATTCTCAACCCTACCCAGGAACTACAGATTATGCCACCAAACATGGAAATCCAATCAATAAAAGAGGTCCTCTGCTGCACTGCCTGCAGCTTGGGCAAGGGAGAAGAGGGACTTTAAACATGCCTGAAGTGCCACAGGACTGGATTGTTGGAAGTTCCTGGCAATCTGCACTACCTGCACACACTGGCACACGCCAGCAGTATTCCCTACTACTGTTTTGTCCCTCCTTTTTTAATCTTTTACTCATCTCCAGATGTGGAGTGCTCAGGGCCATGGCATACCCCTACTTGGTCCTGCCCACCAGGGCTGTGCCATCACCTGCAGAAAGCAGGGACCACATTTCTCCCTTCTCCTCTGTGAATGCCAGAGCTGTCATGCTCACACATAAAGTGCTTTTATCAGGACAACTGTGGGACATTTTTACATTGATGTGCACATTGGGGGCTCACTTGGCACCATTAATAATAGACCTCCAGGGCTCACCATTAGTAAAAGTGCAGGGAAGAAGTCACAGGCCAGACTCTCATTCCAAATGACATGCAGAGAGAGGAGAGACAGACTACTGCTCCAAAGAGACTCAGTCCTAGGAATCAATTACATGTGAGCCACAGATCCTTCATACTGACATTCCCACACTAGGGGACTGTAGCACTGGGAGCTGTTTCAGCATTTTTCACCTCCCAGGAAAGAGCTGCCAAGAGATTTCAACTTAAACAAAGAAATTACTGAATTGTTAAATTTACAGAATGACTGTGTTACCAAGAGCAGCAGATGCTTAAAGGGAAGAAATTCGGGGTTTGGAGCAACACCTAGAAACAAGCAGAATACTCACATTCCTGCTGTGAAATCTGTAAACATTGTTGAGCGAGGAACCCACATGCCAATGCAAGAAGTAGTAGAGATCACCTACAGAGAAAAGGGAGGAAGGTTGTATGAAGGGCAGAGAGCTCACATGGCTCCTGTGGATTTTCAGGGAAGCCTTATTTTCAGCACTGAATTTTATCTTGTTTCCATGTTAACTTACTGGAGCTGCAGCATTAATCCAAATTATGATTGATCTTTTGGAGGAGGGGATTTTCCTGTAGATGTAGACTGCTTCCTCTATAAACACCAGAATGGCAATGAGTGTCATCAGAGTCAAGGTTGCAAAGAGAAATCTCCCTGGTAGGTCAAGGCCTGCAGAGAGAGAAAAGAAAACAGACAGTTCTGATTTATTTCATAAGCTTTTCAAACATTAATGTAACAACACCATCTCTGAGGGGCTTCTTTGCCTTATTCCTACAAATACTTGCACTCATCCCTAGTTACACAGGCAGACCACTGACTCCACAGAATCATTCAAATACTGAAGTTCATGACTAAATCTTTCCAGGATCCACAGACAGCAGGAAGAATACGCCTTCACCTTCTGAAAGCATTATGCAATAGTCCATTTCAGAAAAGGGGAGTTCCAGGACAAATATCCTTCGATAAATACAAATATGTAGCAGAAATAAATACATAATCTGGGAACTTTTCCAGGCAGGCTACAAGCAAACATGTATTCACTCAGTATTAGTTCTCTGCTTCCATCATGTGCTCACAGGTATGTTACATGTAACTTCCTTAGGCAGGCAAACTTACTAGAAGCTCGGGGGAATTTTGTATGGCACACTAGCAATGTAAGGAAAAGCCTCTGATATACCAAGCCTGAGATAAAACTTGGTGTCTTCACCAAAATCTTCTTCTTTGCTTCTTCCTTAAACATTTCAACATTTACCCATAGGTGATAGGTTTTATGTCTCCATTGACACTGGGTATGGGTATCAACTTTAACCCACAACTGACAGCTGAAGTGCATTTGCTTCCAAGGCATGTGTTTCCAGAGACAGAAAAAGTGGAGTCATGCTTAATTTAGGAGAAGTTCATGCTCATCATCAGTACGAACTGCTGTGAGACCCGCAGCCTATGGGAAGGCAAAGCAGAGCCTCTGCTCCAGCCTCTTTAACCTAACCTGGTTCAAAAAGCCCCGGCACTTCCAGACTTGGCTGCAGGCGGGGCAGTGCCGGTCTCAGTGCACATTTCCACTCCTTAAATCTCACCGGAGGGAGCCTGAGACCCGGCGCAGCCCCAGGGACCGGTTCAGCGCTCGGTTCCGCTGTGCCATCCCCAGCCGGGCCTGGGCCGGGCCGGGCTGCGCTCTCGCCCTGCCCCGGAGCCAGCGCGGCCCCCACACAGGCGGAGGATCGGCCGGGACGGGCGGGTGCCGGCCTCCGCTCGGGGATTTCCTCGCCGGGAAAGAACGGCGAAGGAACACGCAGGGACAGGGGATGGGCAGGGACGGGGCACAGGCAGGAACAGGGGATGGTCAGGGACAGGGGCACAGGCAGGGACAGGGGATGGGCAGGGACAGAGGGACGGACAGGGACAGAGGCACAGTCAGAGGCAGAAGCACGGACAGGGGCAGGGGCAGCAGCGAGGACGAGGACAGGGACAGGGGCAGGGGCAGCAGCGCGGACGAGGACAGGGACAGATGCCGCCGCGGGTGGGTGCCGAGGGCGCTGCCGGGCAGGGCCGCCGCTGGTGTCCGGCGGGCAGCCTCCTCTCCTCCCGCCCCGCACTTACTCCGGAGAAGCTCCTCCGAGTAGGGCGACTCGCTGGAGCCGCAGGACGGGTGCAGGGTCCCGTTCGTCTCGCCCTCCATGGCTGCGCGGCCGGCGGCCCCGGCGCGGAGCCCTGGCGGTGCCGGGGCTGGGCACGGGCGGCGGGGTCAGTGCGTGCCCGGCCGCCGGTCCCGGGCGAGTGCGGGCGGCGATGAGCGGCGCGGAGCCGGCGGCCGGGCCCGGTTAATGATTACCCCGGAGCCGGGCGGGCGAGCGGCGCAGGGACCGAGCCCGCGCTGCCTCCTGGCGCCCGGCACGGCCACACGGGCAGCGCCGAGCAGGGGCAGCGCCAGCCGGGACAGAGCCGAGCCGGGGCAGAGCCGAGCCGGGACAGAGCCGAGCCGGGGCAGCGCCAGCCGGGGCAGCGCCAGCCGGGGCAGCGCGCCCACCCCTCCTTGCCGCGGGCTGCAGCTGCTCCCGGCTGGTCCCCATGTCTCTGCCCGGCCTCGGTGGAGCTGCTTGCGGCACCCAGCCGGGCCCATAGTCACAGCCCCAGCGTGTCGGGGCACCTGCAGTCGGGTCTCGGCAGCCGAGGGGGCGCTGGAGCCGGCCGGGGGCGGGAGGGATCCCCGGGGCCGTGTCCGCCTTCGCTGCAGCCCCGGGGCACGGACGGAAGCTGCTCCGTCAGGGGGGCAGTGTTTGAGGGAGTTTTCATGGAGCCCTTCACCAAAGGCTTCCCGATCGACTTGGCTGCAACGAGGTGAGACGCTGAAGGGGAGCGCAGTGAGGGTGGGAATATACCGAGAGATTCTCCACTTTCCCACACGTTTCCTCTGCTGGAAGGATTCTTTCTGCAGCCTCAGCACTTTCGGGCTGTTTCCAGGAAAAGGGAATGAGTACTGAAATGATGGAATTTGGTGACCCCCAGGTTGTTCAGGATACTCGCGCTGAAAGCTGGCCAACCCTAATGGTTACTGCGCTGAGTGACAAAATGGCAGGGACACGCTGTAACAATGAGCACAGAGGGTGTCGGGGGGAAGGAGGACAGTCCTAGTTACCAATGCAGTGATAAGCGATTGCCACTCATGAAAAAGATCCTGGGAACACAGTGGACAGTCTTCAAAAATGACAGCAAGAATCAGCATGGGACAAAATGCAAAGGACTGCGAGAAATTTGTGGATAAATAAAGGAAGACACAAAGCTAAAATACATACGGAGGCCTCCCTTCACCATGCTGGTGTTCTAGAAAGTTGAACAAATTGAAGTGGGGAGGTGAGGAATTTAGGGACATTTTTAAGCACCAAGGGCCCTTGTGGTAAAGGCTTGTAGTCATCTTGCAGTTTTCACAGGATTTCCAAAGGTTTTACAGGAAGGACAGGCCGGACACTGAAACACTGCCAGCAGGAGCACAAGGATGCAGGGGAGAATGGGACTGCTCACTGTCTCACACCAGCAGGTACTGAGAGAAGGCAGGCTCCTTCCAGAGTGGCAGGATTTGGGAGCAAGACAGATGAGGCTACTGACAGTCTGTTCTGTTACTGTCAGGACAGCTTGGTTACAGATCAAACTAATTTATTTCAAGTCCTCCTTGGAATTGCTGGCATTGTTTTCACTGCATTGAGTGGTGAGGATGAAAGCCTTCCAGTTTTACCAGAAGGGATGCAACAGTGAGTGGCTGTTGGAATGTGGTATCTGCCCAGATCATTCTCCACCCAGCACATCTGCTGCTGCCCAGCTGCAGAAACATACAGGCAAAATCCATGAAACCCTGTTCCAGCTTATTTTCTATTTGAAAGACTGTTTTCTCATCCTGAATAAACAGTTGCTGGAAGAAAGGGAAATGACCTCAGAAGAGCATCCATTTTCTACACAGTTTGCTTGATTTTTTTAACCAACTATTTTCAGGAGGTCATATTCCAAAATGTGACCAAAATCTCATTAGGATTGCTGAGATTTAAAGATGTCCTAAGGTCTTTGAATGTTCTTCCTGAGAAGACACAAGAGGATTTCCATCTGTTGCTCTTTTGGTTGCCAGCTCCTTGTGTTCCCTAAAAGCTAAAAATAGAACCCCCTTACCTGTGAATTCCTTTTTCTGAATGAGGCAGGTTTGGCAATGCTTGTGTTAAAGACACGCATACATGAAGTGTAAGAGACTCAAGAATTCCCTGAACTCAGTAACAGCTTTGGATTTGACAGTCATATTTAAGCCTTTCAGAAATACCAGTTTGGAACAAATACTGCATGTATTGTTCTGCATATATGAACATGGCATAGAGAGTTTCCTGTCTCAAACCTATAGAAAATTAACAGGTTGAAATTTAGAGGTTAAGGATTAATTCCCACCTGGTGCTGTAGGGGTCCAACTCTCCAGCTCTCTTGTAGCTATGATATTTTATTAAAAATCCTTTCCTAGGATTTTTTCCCTCCTGAGAGCTGAGGGCCTCAGGAAAGAAATGTAAACAATAACTCTCTGCTGCTGTGGAATGCAGCAGGTGCATCTTCCATTGGTCCATGTGGATTGTTTTCCATTGATGACCAATCACAGCCACCTGTGCCAAGGCTGTGAGCAGTCACAGGATTCTTGTTATGCATTCTATTCTATTCTTGTTCTTTGTAGCCTTCTGATCATTCTTTTCTCTCCGTTCTTTTAGTATAGTTTTCGTGTAGCCTTTTAGTGTACTATCTCCCATAATAAATCAGCCTTCTGAGAAAATGGAGTCAAGCCTTGTGTCTCTGCACACGGGATGTTCACCTCAACACTCTCTTCTTCTACTGGAGCATCTCATGCGAAATAGAGTCTAAAAAGAGAAGCACAGACCTACTGTGATTCCTTTTTGTTGGAAACACCATTTGCCATTTTTGGCTCAAACATTGGACCCACTTCTTTTAAAGCTGCCATATGTCCTGGAGGGAGTGTGCATCACCTGTTCCTCACATTCTGGACTGTGTCTTGGCAACAATATTTGCCTGACAGTGTTTAAATGTAATAAAGCAAACTGAAGAATGTGCCATGATCCCTCAGTTACCACAGCTGGAGGTCTGCTGCTCTGTGCTCACTTTCTTAGACCAGGCTCTTCAGCAGTGCCCTCTCTGCTCTGCCTTCTAAGACAAATGCTGTGTCTCTACATCAACAATGAATCCTTTAAATTCCCATAAGCCTGAGTATGTTTTCCTCCCGGCTTCACTATTCCAGTTTTTGGTTTAACCTTTTAGTTCAATATATTGTATTTTCCATGAAAAACCAACCAACCAACCCCCAAAGCCACCTTCAGCACTGGATGAGTATTTATAAATGGATCACCTATCCATTTAGATGCATCAAGAGATTGACACAGTCCTCAGACTAAAATCCACCTCTGAACACAGTTCCCTTCCTCTGCTGACCGGGGGCTGTCGAATTCTTTGTGGTTCAGCCCCCTTCCAGACAATGCACAGCTCAGACTTGTTTTCTCAAGAAACCTTTTCTTCTACTTTGCCCCTTTGCTTCTACTTGTGTTCATCTTTTAAAGAGCACTGCAGATGCTTATCTTTCTTCCATTTTTGTGATGACTTTCATTTTACATCAGCATCATCAATGCAGAGGGGAAAGATGGGAAATGCAGCCCCTTTCACAGAATCATTTGTTCTGGGAAAGGCCTTTTATATGATTGAGTCCAACCACAAACCTAACGCTGCAAACAGTTCTGAGGCAAGGTTAACTCACCTCCTGAGAGGTACACGAACTTCAAAACCCTTACATTCCTTTAGTCAGTGAAAATGTACATCACCTGGAGAATGTTCAGCTGATTCTGAAAGGGACTCAACAACTCTGAACTCCAGGGACAGATACCCCCATATGTGGAGCAGCTGCATTTGCTAAGGTTAAAAAACAAGGTAGGCATTTCAGGTTCAGTTGTACAAAGTAAAGGATTTGAGTTGTAGATGAACAAAGTCCAGAGGTGCCAGAAGGAAAGGTTACTATGCCTACCTGATTGTACTCTGCTGACAGTTCTGGTCATGGACCTCCAATCACACAGATAAACCAGCCAGTTTGGCAGAGACAAATTATTTGAACTGTTTTACCTCCTCCCACTGCATTTGCTGAAGACAATTTGGAGGCTAACTGATGCAGGATGGTAAAATGAATCATCCCACAAAGAGACTAACACTCATTAATGGGAGAGGTAATTATCCTTCTAAGTGCTGTTGCAGGATTTGAAATGCTGCATTTGTACAGTAATTTCATGGAAAAGGAGATAGAGCTTCAACAGTACCTCTGCTGGAGTGTGGACCCAGGGAGCACCATGGAAGTACTTGCAACTATGCTTATATGAAAGGATGTGATCTATACTGATGCAAGAAACTCATAATGTCAGTAAAAACTTGTGTAAAGGAGTCTTAAACTTGGGTTAATGTTTCAATACAATGAAAGCAACTGGTTCTTCATTCATTTTTCACTGTGATGGACAGAAAGCAAAAAGAAATAAAGAAAAGGAATATACACAGAAAGGGAAGAAAAAATGAAATGTGAGAGGAAAAATAATACTAACTGATCATTTAAAATAATGCCAAAACCTAGACTTAATTCATTCACTCTCAGTAAGAGAGGTATCTCCAACTCCCTTTAGAAGAAATGTAGATTTCCTCTGTGTGCTCTGCCTGAACAAAGCTATGCTCTAGTCAAATATGAAGCACTAGGTGAAAATTCAGAGGAACTGGGTGAAATTACAGGGAAGGAAAACTAACTTTTTCAGTTTTTTAACTGTTCAGCAGAGTTCAAGCTAACAGGAGAAATTTGTGTTAGAAAAAGAAGTCTTTGATTTTCAGTGCTGTAGGGGAATGTACATCACATTTCTCACAAGTTTGGATACCCAGATAAGAGCCAGAAGAGTCAGCTAAAATTGGTCAGATTTCAAAGGAATGTACATATTTAATAATGAAATTAAATCCTGTTTTCAGCTATAGCATAATATACACTTGGACGTGCATGCAAGTCAGCCTTTTCCACTATAAATCTGTGGATTTTTCACCAACCATCAGTAATAAACTACCCATTTCAGGAAAGGTGGGTCCTTAATGTAAGAAAAGGAACATCTATATCACTGTAAAAGAAATTAATAAGGG